GACTCTAGCGGATTTTTATAGAACTACTTCAAGTGGTCGCTTGAGCATGGCAATCTATCGCAAGTGGCTGAGTATTGGCTCGTCTGAGGACGAAAATGTTTTACAGAGCGATCTTAACTGTTTATGGAACTGGGCGGCCAGAAAAAAGATGGAATTAAATCCGAAGAGCAAATTCATTTGCTTTAACAAGTCTCGCTTCGAACGTACGCTCAGTTATGAATTAGGAAACTAACGTTATACCACGTGCCGCGTGAAAAAAACTGTTAATATTTGGTCTTGGTCCTGCGATCAGCGACTTAGGTTGTCGGATCATTATTAACATACCGTTAAAAATTCCTGGGCTGGGCGCGCTGCACTTTGTAATGCGTGTTCTAAAAATAGTAGTCAATGCCCGATCTACTAGCGCTACTACTTCATGTAGGCCAGGGGTTTTCATATCAATCAGTTGCTGACGTGTCCATGACGTTCTCCTGACCCCCTTCAACTATGATATACTACACTTGTTCGTCAATTTAGAATACGGAGCGGAGCTGGCATGCTGGGACCCGTACAGAAAAGGGCAAATCGAAGCGTTAGATAAAATTCAAAAACGGGCCTCAAAGTTTGTAAATCATGGGTGCGTTTGTGGACGAACGAGAAGAATGGCGATCCTATCTAAGAGAAGGGAACGGGCGCGTTTATGCGTAATGTATAAGACATACAGCATGGCAGATATCGGTAAAAGATTACAGAAATCAGATTATAAAACAGAGAGACCATCCTGGAAAATACGATGTAGAAAAGCAAAGAACTGATGTAGGCAAGTTCTCCTTTTGAATCGCACTATAGTGGATTGGAATAAACTACTGCAGAAGCACTAGAGACTCTTGCTTTTTAATGTAGCCAAATTAAAAAATATGCTTCATTCCATTCTAGATCATCTCGAATAATATGACTGAGAATTATTATATATTATTATTATTAATTTTATTATTATTATTATTATTATTATTATTATATTATTAATTATATTATTATTATTGATATACTTTTATTGATATTATTATTATTATTATTATTATTATATTATTATTATTAATGGCATAATTATGTATTATCGTCATGGCCCTTATACCAGTAAAGTGATGTGAAGTGTGTGTAGTGTAGTTATGGGGGGGAAAGGGAGTGTAGTGTAGTGAAGGGGAGTGCATTGTAGTGTAGTGTAGTGTCGTGAAGTGTTATATAAACTAGAAGTGAATTTAGAGTTACCTAGAAATAAATTTGAACTATTATATCGACCCCTAATTCAAGTAGTAAACCCAATTGTAAATGTTGAAAATGTTTGGTAATTCTCATTTTCAATGTTATCATGTTTGCCACCGAGCATTAGCTCAAAGCGAACTTTAATAAATCTATCTATCTATCTATCTACATCTTATAAGCTGGATATATATGTAAAAAGCACGAAGTATAAATGGATCGGCATACTGCCGTATCGCTATGTCTCAGTTCATGTATTTTAAATGACATTGTTTTTCGATTTTGTATTGTTTTTATGTACAAATTTGTGTGACTCGTCAGTAATATCAACAATATCAATCACTCTGACATTGCGCAAGCACATCTTATTCTTAAAGTGTTTATTTTTATAATAGGCATTGTACTCTTATATCTAAATAACATTGAACACAGTTAGGAAAAATCGATCTTAACGCACGACCACAGAAAAATCGTTTAGCAGCCACCATGTGTAAAGTACTATTTATATTTTGCTTTGTTATAAGCAATTGGTGGTATTACAGTACGTATTAACGACACACGTCTGATAACACGAACAACAGACTTGACTGGATGTAAACCTTCGCTATCGCTTTGGTTCTATAACCGCTCTAATATTTGTTGTTTATTGACCTAATGATGTTACCAACTATTTCTATGTCCCCCAGAGCAGGTAGAAATCAGTTCTCCGAATGCCTCCTTGACGTACGTTTGGTTGAAATGGGCGAGCAGGCAGGCCTTTGGCGAGCATTGGCCCCGGCTACCAGAAATTTCCCTGGTCCGACGGCTGACCGACAGCCCTGGCGCCGGCCTTCGCAGCAGATCTCTCCGCGGCGGCGGGGCGGGGACGGAGGCGGGGTAGGGGCGTTCCGCAGAGTTTCTATATATAGAAGTGCACTTTTCGCGCGTAGACTGCGGCTGTCGCCGCCGCCACCGCCCCACGGACACCACAGCGCCTCTGCCCTCAACCTTTCTGGTCGGACGATGGCACAGCCAATACTGTTCTGCTGGATGGTAAGTTGAAACTTCAACCACGGTTCGTGTGCAGTACTCTTTTTTTGGCAAGTGTGGAACAAGTATCATTGCTGGGTTGAACTATTATACTCAGTGTCAAATATTAAGAAAAAAATATTCACTTTTCAACCAATCCCAGCTGAATATCGGCAAATATTTATCTGGTTTTCCAGTCATTGTTATTCGTCAATTCTACTCCCATTAGTACAATGTAGTGACTGTGTTAACTGTACGTTCTTTTCTGAAAACAAACCCTAAAAAATATTAAAGGTAGGTATGCATCTTTTCGGTGAAACTTCACTCGCAGAAATTTATATTCTCTTACTATTTAAGAGAGAGCAAGATATTCTCTTACTATTTAGTATATATAGCATCGTCTCCTATATTATTTTAGTAGTATATATGCCTTTTGCTGCTCTCTCAGGCTACCGATATTTATAAATGAGATCCCTAAAGAAAGAGAATTTCACGGAGACGTGATGAATTGTACCTTGACTTTAAAAATATGAAGGATTTGTTTAAAAAACGCATCTAAATATTAATATCAAATGCTAAATCATTAAATAACTCCTAAAAAGTTTTAGAGCCTTAAAAACTATTTTTTCAGACCAATAGCCGCAAAGAAACGTTTTTCGCACCAGAATTTATAGGATGAGATATTTTATGACGTTCTATTATTTTTTCGATGCTTACTCGATTTACACTACCAAACATATCACCCCTACATGCCCATGGCACCAGTTATCCTTCCCTCCACTGCCAATGAGCACAAGAAGACTTCCTCCATGGGTGCTGGTTGTTATCTTTGTGACGTTTCGCTTAGGAAGCTTAGATTTTTTTATCTTACACTACATACACTTTCTATGTACACCGTGCTTGGCGCAGACTGACCTGATTTATTTGCATAATTATTAATTCAAGATTAGCTCTTGCACCAACAACTAGAAATACTATTAATAGTTTTTTGATACCGATGAAGATGGTTTCTTATGCGTGTGGTGCAACATTCATGTAACGTTTTGGCATGGTCTACAAGTACTGTATTTCCAATTGTGGAGGGAACTACGATGGAAAAGGGCCAGCTTTTTCCATGTTTCATTTTTACAATTTGTTTTATATTTTCATTTATTTTACGATATCCTTAGGAAAAAATAAGGTGAGGTTTAACGTGCAAGAGTTCTCTCACGGGTACACTATTTTCACTCTATTCTAAAAGACATTTAAAGAATAAATTTGGAGCAATTTTCCAGTAAATTTTGAAAATTTACTGCGGTTTTCTATAAAGTTTGCAGTGTGTGTAAGGGGTGAGGATAGGGCAAGGAAGAGGTAATGAAAATCGCGCGAGGCCCGTGGCCCGATTGTTAGGGTACTGATCCGGCGTTCACCTGATGTTGATTGGTCGACTGCTAGAATTTTCCTCCTGACATCGACTGCATTCTACGAAGCAATCTATCTAGGGTCGACTAAACTGACAAAGTAGTGTTGAAAATTCTACCACTGTCGAGACTTGAATCTAGGACCTAGGAACTCCCGATCAGAGGGACTCCAATGACATCAATTGATGCCCTGAGCCACCTCTCCCTGTCTCTCTACTTGCGTGTAATGTATCTCGTATGTAGTATGTTAATGGTTTAATTTTTAAGAGACGATTCTCTAAATAGTATCTGTTGGTTAAACCTAATGTAAATGATATGTATACAACTATCATTTACACAAAACTTAATAACTACAAAATTATATATTATATCTAGGTAACATTGTCCCATAAAAGGAATAAAAGACAAAATAATCACAGGCATTATTTTGCTTTCGGTAATTAATAGTCTTGAAACTGCACGAGAAATCATTGTGCAAACTAATGCCTATATTTATCTCTCCCCTATTATCTATACGGTAGTGTGGTACACGCGCACTTCTGATCGCCAACCTGCACTCGAGCACGGCGTATAAACACTGCTAACGAGGTTAGATGGAAAGGGAATAAACGAGGCACGCGCACAGCCTCCAAGCTGCAGTTCAGGGCCGCAATTCACTAGTGGCGGAGTTCAGAGACGCAGCGATACGCAATCTAAATGTGCAACGGGACCACACCAGCGCCAGGTCTCAGCGTTCGGCGTGATAGGGAAAGGGATAAAGGCGAGCGTCGAAAGGCGTGTCTCGCTGTCCTTTCGCAAATTCCGACGTTCACTTGGGAGAGAAAACAGGGGTCGTTACTACGAATGGCGCTCAAGTGATTCTTTCCAAGGCTGTGAGTATATTTCGTGAGAGTGGCTCACATCTCCAAGCAGAAACGTTTTGGCAAATGTTCGAGAGTAGTTTCGTATATAAAATAATCCCATCAAATGATAACATATACAAATCAAATAATGACAAACAGATTGACCAATTATGGCTTCAAAACCGTTGTTTTCCAAATTGTATTTTAAAAACGGTATTTTGTTTCAATCGTGTTATACAAATATGAACAAATGTAATACTCGTTTAAAACTGGGATTGCTTTGAATAAAAAAAATAGTTCAAAATCTAAAGACATTACGAAACTTAGTGGTGGATATTCCAGTCATGGATTCTCGATTATAGCAAGAGAGTAGGTGAGTTCAATTTTCGATTGATTTTTCACCAATCAATGTAGAGAAAGTTCTACATCATTGGACTTGTCATAATTCTGATCCTGATTACTACAGTCCTCGATTTCGTATTATTACAAATTGAACAATAATTAATTCCAGTGCAAAAATATTGATCCCAACGACGAAGGCGGTACTGTGAAGTTTACTATTGGTTTGAAGAGTAATGTTTTGGTAGCAGTCGTGAGTATGCATATTCTTTTATGTTATATCATGAAGTAACTTTGTGTTACATTGCTGTGTCGTCTGAGAACGTTGACTCACTAAAAGTAATAACACAGGGTAGTGGGTTAACTGAATGAAGCAAAAAAATTTAAATAATTAAAACAATAACAATAATAGAAATGCTGATAATAATAAAATTAATATTGCATGTTTATGTGGGTTTTAATCTATATTATAGCGAAATATTGAGTTATTTGGAATTACATGAAAACCATCTAATTGTACACAGATAATTACACTAACAATTGCACAATTTATAAAAAAAACGTAGAATGGCATAATCATTGATCAGAAACCTTGAGGTATTCCTAATACAGTTGTGTACATTCTCGAAAATACTTTTTGCGTTTGTCTGAAGGGTAACATGTCGCCCATGTTAATATATCACGTATTTATTAATTTAAAAAATATGGACAAGACAGACATTAGGTGTAGAGTTAATGCTATTATTACCTTTATTGTTATCATATTCTTATTTTTATTATTATTACTATTATTATTGTTGGCTTAAAATAATTAAATTTGCATTGAATTAATATTAATAATTGGAATATGTGAATTGTGGTGTTCTGCCACTAGGTTGCATAAACCTACTTGCAGAAATATCTATATCTCCTTATATCTATCTATCCATATGTGTATCCCCCTACCAATCTATCTATCCCTATTTTCGAAGATCCCTTTTATCAGAAGCAATATTAGTAATGACTTGAAACAGATACTGCCACTGTTGTTCGCTTTTGGTATCTCATCAGGACTCTTTCCAAAGCTCTTTCCATGCATTGCGATCCGGTTTGTTTCACGCCCAGTACTATATGCCTATTAATGATCAAGATCCATTTGTGACAAAGGCTTCCAGGGCTAGAGATGTGTAACTACGATGGTTGCTGTGAGCGCAGTTCAGCCGGTAAGGATAATAGGAAATCGGAAGCGAGGCCTTGGGACAGAGTGGAGAAGAGAGTGGGCCCTGAACAGGTGGTATACGACAGGAGCCACGTGCTTTGACAAAGTCTACATTGACACTTACACGTTCTTAAAGAAGAAAGAAAAAAATAATTACATGTCTGGTCCATATGCATATTAATATATTTTTTATTGGTATTAATGTTATTTTCATTCTAGTTTTTGTTAGTTTACGTAATTTACACATTAAATTAGTTCTTTGAGTAGGCGTACTCACAACAACATTTCTTGACAATTTATTCCTTAAATAAAGTAAAAAATAGTAAGCTGAAACACAGAACAAGAGAAAAAGGAATCAATTTCTTTAACTGCTCCCTACCTGTGAAAGAAAATTGTTTGCGTTTGCATACTTTTTGCACTCGACACTTGATCTTGGTAATGACTTTGCAATTGATTTACAAATATATTGTTTGAGCCTGCACCGGCTTACTCAAGAATTTCTACTATTATTTATTTTTTTCCTTCCTCCCATTTAGTTTTCGAATGGAATGGCTTATGAATCTTAGAAAATGTGTACTATTGGAGTCAGAAGGCCTCCTCATAACGGATTCCAAGCTATGAAAATTTAAGTAGGGAATTTTCTATTACCAGCTCTTGAATTACTTGCATTAAAAATCCATGTTCATCTTCACAAAAAATAAGTCTGTTCTAGTCAATTAAAAACTTCGCAACTCCGCTGTCGTCACTACTAATAAATACAAAAGTACCAAACATCACATAACAATTACATAAATCATAACTTTCACATTATATTTACAAACACGTTTACACAATATCTATCATTTCGCATGTCCAAGACACCTTTCTTCTCTCTTATTAATTATCTTTAAATTATTTATTTAATAGGTAATTATTACAAACGAATTAGATTACTTGATCCTATGTGGCTAGGCGAAGGCGCCTTTAAGCCATGTACGGCAATAACCTACATCTTTTCGCTTTCTAATCTTTCGAATTCTAGTATTCACAAATGGTCTCTCCATCGCATCAAACCGCGGAAAAAGACCACAAGGGTTTTATGGCTCCAAGAAAAACCCCTGAAGGCGGTAAAACCTGCGTCAGAAAGCCGAGTACATTCTAATCTATCCGACATTTATATCAACTATCTTATTTTGTCTGGCGCGGGCCGTCCCGCCGGTCGCCATTCCATGCTTGGCCTCCTCGAGCAACCTGAAATCAAACGACGCCACAGAAGATCGTCCGCACAACGCCTCTGCCCTTACATTTTCGATCCCCCCTTCCCTTCACCCCCTATAATGGCATATTACTATGCCAGTTTTATTTTATTTATTGTTATTGACCAGTTAATTACAACTGACTACAACTTATGATTTATTCTGTTTACTGACTGTTTACTAACTTAACATAAAAATAGCGTACTTATTGTTAGCTTATGGACTTATTTATTTCTCTCCGTCTAGGCTCCGCTCAAGCTAAGCCAGTCTGTTTTCCCACTCCCTAATTTCAGTTCTCTAATGGTCCGACCTTTCCTAAAAATGTTTCCTAATTCTTTCATAAATAAGATCTTTGTCACCTAAAATGTTTTGGTGCGAGCGTAGCGGTTTCCGATTAGGAAGTAGTAATTTCCCATTCCCATCCATTTTTTTCTCCATGTTTCGGTTGCACAGCAAATGTAAAAGGATGTGCACCAGTCTCCCTATCACCGCCAAAAGCACACAGATGCCATTACCACTTGCGTCCTTTAGTCTATGCTGCATCCACCCGCCAACCCTTGAACCAAGCGTATCCCTCTCTTGCGTCTTTCCGAGAGTATGTGAAGTATGTAACTGGTTCGCAACCCATAATGGACTCGCATGATTTGAGCCTAACCAGCGAACGTTTTTCAGCCGTTGCTGCCCAGATCTCTTGCCTTTTATTATCCGCAAGTCTCACTCCAAGACGTCGAGCCGAAGGCGGACGTGTTTGGCTACCTGCTGCAGATCGTCTCGACAGAACAGTGGCCGGCGCGCTATCGGCCGCTGGGTGAGCGGGCTACCTGCCGCCAGTGCCGGTGCCCGGGGGACAGGCGCAGGCGGCTTGGGCTACTTGGCGAGCGGCTGGCGCGGCAAGATGCGGTGCTTATTTGCGATCGTGGGTGGAGCTGAATCCCGCCCCCCACTAACGCCGAGATCATCGACATTTTAAACCGTAACCATAAGGAGATGATTGACAGGGTCGATATATTACAGGCTAGGGTGACAGCGTCAGAGGCGACAGTGCAGTCGCTGCAGACAGCCAACGAGCGGTTGGTGTGCAAGGTGGATTATCTTTAAATGAAAATATGACACGACTTGGTCTTCCTTCAAAAAAATCATTTAAACTTTTGTACACTTCCCTTTTTCCCACTGCGTACTTGGTCGTCGAAGTACAAGGAAACAATCTTTCACATTCATTACTCCACGCCATCGGTCTTTATAGGTTAATTTTTGCGTCTATCTTGACCACTTTTGTTTCCATTCGTATGTTTATGTTACCGTTTGCAATGATTTCCACACAAACTAGAATAATCCGTCACAATATATACCGTTCCTTAGTGCGCTGCATGTAAAAAGTCGTCCAAATTCTTCTATACAATTTATTTGGCAACGTGACATACTAGGGCGTTCAATATAACCAGGACTTGTTTTATGAAACAACTATATCACCAAATATATTCAAATATTTCTCGATGTCACCCTTAGAAGTACATTCAGTGTATACATTTTTTCAAACAATCTGGAATAATATTAAAGCCATTTTTATAAAAGTATTTTGGTTATCTGCATATCGACACCCGAAAACTCAATGAAGGCGTCGTTTTCCGCAAACCGTCTTTAAATTGAGATGAAAGCCTTGCAAACAGGTAAATATCTCTTGTGGAAAATCTGGGCTGAACAAATGGCGTAGGTGGTAGAAGATATCATTTGAGTTTACTGATAGTTGTCATAATCGTTTTTGCAGTATGAGGCCGTGCATTGCCTTGAAAGAATGCTTTCCGTTTCCCATCTCGAATTTATTCTTTGATTTAGGTTTTCGAAAGGTCTATGTATTAAGCTGCATACGTGTTTTGCCTTCTGTAAGAAAGCGACTAACCCCCTTCCAATCTTCTCCCGAAAAAAAGTTGCCAATACTTTCCTCGCAGAATGGATCTTCTACAATATCTTACATCTTGGAGAAGAGGTGCGTCGCCATTCACATGTTGCTTGCTAGGTGTCGGAAAAAATAGGGAACCCAAGTTTTATCGGTGGCTACACTTTACTTTAAAAATGCATCTCGTTTGTTTTCAAACTGCATTAAGAGATGCATTAAGACATGGCAGCTTTGCGAGGCCGTCATCTGGATCCCGTCCGCCAAAGAGCGAGGAACCCATGTGGCTTTCCATATTTTAGATGATTGTGTTTCTTCTGTACTACTAACACTGATGCCCAATACTTTTGCGAGTTTTTTTGCGTCTATTGATGATAGTGATGCACCTATTCTCATGAATAACAAAATTATTACTATCAATGATTGGTTATGGATACTCGCGGCCGATGATTATGAGGTTCATTGTCAACGCGCTCTCGTCCCTCTTTGAAACACACCATTGAAATACATGGGTCCATAAGATGCACTCGTCTCCATTCTGTGGTTTCAATCTCGATTGGACGTTTTCTCTATCGAGCAATTTGATGCTAATGTGTTGTTCCACGCTCCGCAGCACCTTCTACTCGCGCATCACTTTCAGACTCAACTGACCAGTATCTAATCAGCACAGCACAGTTGTGACTTCATTCTCGCCAGGCAGAGTAGTTACGGGATAGAGGGGTATTAGAAAACAATTAGTCCCATTTATATTTGTACGCACTTGTAAATTTTAATTTTTTTGTTATAAAACCGTTTAAACTGTATGTGACGAATAGATTTTGCGCACGAGATCCATAATCCGTATCAAAGACAATAATTTATTGAACAATAATATTTGTGTGAATAGACCAATGAATAAGTTTCGTGTACATTGTATTTACGTTTAGAAAAATTATGTTGGTGGACGTTGCCTTCTTTACTAATTTAATTTAAAATATTTGCGACTGGATTTATTACAATTACGAATTACATAAACGCACGGCACGACAAATTAGAACTTCTGAACTAATATCTTTCCAGGAAATAAATATTTAATATATAGTAAAACAGCAAAGCCTTTTTGATTACACGGGACTTGAAATACGCTGAAAAACATGATACAAAAACCATGAAGTTGAAGTTGAGAGCCACAGCCAACAATAAATGTCTCATATCTACAAAATGAGTTGACATACGTTTATTAGCAATAATTAATACTCACAAAACTTCATGTAAATAAAGTTAATAAAATAATTTCATTTGAAAGAAAAAAAGTATTGTTTGTTGTAGATAAACTAGGGGCATTATTACACTCATCAAAGCTGACCATATTAGATCACAGAATATGTAAGTGCAGGAAGATATTTCTGCTACTTGAGAATAGGCATGAATGAGTACCATGACAGTTGGAACTACTGATAATTAAAACAAGTGAATTTATCGTCTGAAAAAAATAGCACTTCAAAGTTATTTATGACGATACAAGTTTATACAGAACCATAACTAAACTAATCCGTCGTGAAAGAAGGGCATTGAGATATAGTTCTCCATCGTTGACACATGAAAAAGTATTCATTTAGGTTTTATTTTGTGGTCATAATAAAAAGATCATGGATTGGTTTTGCCATTATTATTCTTAATTGTCGAAAATAATTTTTTTGGGGAGAGATGATTTCAAATTACAAGGAAAATGAAAATAGGTAAAATTAATAAGATTGAGAGATGACGGAATAAGATAGGCGTCTGACGTCTCAAACACAAGAAGAATGGAAGATTCAATAGGGCCCACACACACATACACAAACACTATTACATGGAATACACTACCACATATATTGGGAGGCATGTGGCCATCGTAAAGCTTGTCCAGGTTGGGTCAGCACCCCGCTCGGGGAGACGCCACTTACCCTGACGATTAAGTCGGTGCCGACAATTAAGTCGGTCCCAATGGGGGAGGATCCCGGCATCCCGGCCACTTGACGAGGTAGCATGCACTTACAGAACTAATGACCTCGCGATGGCGCGCATGGAATCTAAACTCATCAACAACGAGGACTACACAAAATATAAATTTCCGCCCTGGCATCTATTTCGGCGTAGTGAGAAAGGTCGCCAGCCGGCGAACGTTGTGACTCGGCGCCTGCGCGGTGGCCGTGCTGTCCGCTGAGTGGGCGGGCCACTGCGCCCTCGCGTGTTGCAGGTGGGCTCCGCCCTGCTGGCCGGCGCCCGCGCCTTCGACCTGCCCTGGCTGTTCCCCAAGCCCTCCGCCGCCCCCGCCGCAGCCGACCTCCAGCCCGTGAGTAACACACTCGCCGCACGCCTCATTGCGAGACTCAACGGAACTTCCAGCTAGGAAACTTCTACAATATCTTCTTCCTTTCTCAATTAAAGTGCACACAATAATTATCTCTTTCCTTTTTTTTTGATGGGCTTATCGAAACATTTCTTCCTTCCGGTGTGTACTTCTTATACTTTATTTTCATCGTTCTCACGAGGAGATTTGCAAATCTTCTATGTTTCACAGTATCATTTCGGTCTCAAACGTATTTTCCCATTTTCTTTGATGCTACTCCTCATTGTCCATCTTGAAAGCTCATAAACTTATTTCCTAAATGTTATCTCCACTGTCACTCCAACCTCTTCGACCATGGCGTGGTCTGTGATACGACTAGACATTTTCGTCATGTTCTTAATTCATATGTGACAAGGTTCATTAGATTTCCCCCAGTAATCAACTTCCTCTTTTTTCCATTTCTTGTTGCTTCTTTACACGTCATATATGGTAATATAATGTGTTTCGTGCTCTACTATTCTTTAGTTATTTAGCATAATTTTCATTTGCTAATCCAAATTAGAATTAAACTCAATCACATATAGCATACATTTCTGAAGAAAACATTAGAAGTTCTTCTAGAAACTATTTGTCACTTGTTTACTCGGGGGTATAATGTAATTTAATCATCTGACATTTAAATATCTAAAAGTAAAGTATTTATATCAAATTTTTACATGCAAATTAATACCTTTTTTGTTTCTCTCGAGCAAAATTATTACTTTCACTACAGTTAGTAGTTCACATACTCTTAGTTATAAATACACGTAAAATATTTCTTCTGATAAAGTATTACTAGTTTCCTTGCAGGAGAGGCCGCTGTACGCTTTCGACTACAACGTGAATAATCCAAGTACCGCCGACATGAAGAGCCATTGGGAGGTGCATGATGGCGACGTAGTGAGGGGCTCGTACACAGTAGTGGAGCCCGATGGCACCTTGCTCACCGTCGAGTACACGGCTGATGGGAACAATGGCTTTAACGCCGTCGTCAAGAGGGACGGCATTTTCGTCAAGCCCCCGGAAAACCCGACTCACCTGGGAGACGTAAGTTACAACTTGTGAGACGTACGTTTCTTCACAAGTTCAATTAAAATCTATGAAAACTAATATTTTCTGAACACACACGATCCTTTGATTCTTCAATCTTTATATTGATATTGAAGTTGAAGTAGGCGGTAAAATTAGTAGCTCTGGTTGGAAAAGTTGCTGTAATAAGGAAGATTGAAATTACTGCATGAATATGTATTAAAATTAGTAATTAAATATATGTATATATTTACCCTAACGCTCACATTCCTTCATTTTAAAAGGTTAAACATTGTTGGTATTTTATGTGGTGATAGATGGCAGCTGGCAATACCGATGAACTAGAAAAATAACTAGTACGGGAATGTCTGTGCCATTCAGTAGCCCCACTACTTTTATCTTTGAGTTCAATGGAAGACACTATCTCATATAGTTATGTTTGGCAAAACTGATTTTATTTCAGACAGATGTATTATCATACAGTAATAGCAACCAGCCATTAAGACATTTGTTTATTTTCCTCCTATGAACTTGTTACTAATGAGGCCGTTTAGGTATTCTGCCAACCATAATTTGCTTCACAAATATTTTGCTTTAGTTCACTAGTCAGAATCAATCATATCGATATGATCTATTTTTCACTCAGTAAAATTGTCAACAAATCTTCATAGTTTATCTACTTGTCGGAAACCACAGCTGTTTTCTCATTGCCAGTGTCGTAATAGGTTTTGCGGGTGCGCTCGAATCGTTTCGTTTTATCGTTGCCACTTTCGCCCGCAGGTGCCGCTGTACTGGGCTTTGAAGCCACTGCTCGGAGCGCTGCCGACGGCGCCGACCACCACCACAACCACCACCACCGCAGCGCCGCCCAGCAGCGCCAAGTGGCCCTCTCTGGCGGCCATCGACGACATCTACGAGAAGTTCTGGAAGTCGTACGGCACGCGTCTCTACGGCGCCGATCGCGACTTCTTCAACAAACCCTTCTTCCCGTTCTTCAGCCGTGACGACAAAACCACCACCACCACCACGACCGCCCCCACCACCACCACCACGCCGAGGCCCCCGGAAATCCCTTTCTATTATCACGTCAACCACGGGGACCCGAGGTATTACTATAAAAAGCACCCCGTATATTATTATGTCAGCAATTCCAGACCGAAGTACAACTCGGATCCATATTATTACTATGTAGACAACTCAGATAGCAAATATGAATATACCAAATCCATAGATCCATTCTATCATTACATAGGTAGCCCTTCTAACACTAACATCGAAAAAACCAACATTTCAGATATTACAGAAAAGAAAGATACAACAGAAAAGAAAGACGTGTAATCATGACGTTTCTTCATCAGATTCATTCTCAGCTTCCAGCAATATTTTTCAGTAGCGTCAAAATAAAAATAAGAAAGAAGGAAAGTATTGTTTGTAGATATTTGATTAATTTCTTCGTTTCTTTCATAATATACAAATATTAGACTCTCGCAAATCATGTAATAAAACCTCTATTTGGTAAAGTGAAATACTAGTCCACGTTAAGTTCAACCTCAGTAGAAATTAGAAATACTAGAGTTTTGACTTAGACTTATTAATGAATAAATTTATGACCATGCATTTACATTTACATTTTAGATACAGATGAAACATTCATTAAAATAAAATGATGACAACATATATTCTAAATATTTACTTCAAACAGAACGTGTCTATAAAGAAATCTACTCCGGTATTTAGTAGTCAATGCATGTTAATTTCGACTTTAAATAATTTAGAAATTAACGCATTATATTGTCAAAATATATTAATTTTTAAAGAATTAATGAATTCTCTTAGTGTTCTTTCTTTGTGTATGTTGTTGTATTTTAAAGCAAAATGTATTGTGTTCAATAGTAAATGAATTGTAATGTAAATAATTTGCGAAATAAAATATATGTACTAAAACAATATTTCTTTAAAATCGCTTTTAATTATTACATCGAATTTTATTGATCAAATGATAACATCCTTGTAACTGACTATATATAAAGAAAGTTAAAAAGTGCGCGGTTAATATATATTTTTCCCTCTGCCATAAATTTCGCAAATGGACTTCGATTTAAATTATTCTTCTTTTCTCTCATAAGCTATTATCCACATATGTTACCATGGAAATTTAATCATATTCTTGTAGTAGGGTTTAATATTAATATAATATTAAATAAATAATGAAGTGATGCAACTTTTAAAATGCGCAAACAACTCTAACAGTAAGAACTAAACCTTACGAAAGAGACTTTTAAAAGTTGATATTTTTCTATGAATATGACTTATTTAGGACATTATAGTTTGAAACCTATTTTAAAATTTTTGATAAAAATTTATAATATAATAAAGACCAAAATACAATTTTCAAATTTGCTAAAAAATGAATAGTATTTTGCCTTTAACTTCTTGGTTTAAGTTGTTCGAAAACACTTCGACCGGTTTCCATCAAAATTGTTGAATATTCAAAACCGCAAAGTTAAAATGTTTACGAAACTATTTTATACTTTCATTATTGAAATTAGTCTATATGATTTGTCAAAAGTATCCCTTTAATTGATTCAATGGAAAAGTTTCAAAGAATATGAGTAGTTTTATTTACATGAGTTTGAATTAAACGTGTTTATTTAACGTAAATATTATATAAACATGATTTTCTCAAAATCAAATTTAATTTTTTTCATACATTTTTTACGTTTAGATAATAATGTACCAAATCATATAATATGAGTCATTTATTTCAAAAAATGTAATCTTTGATTTTTCACAATGACATTTATTGTTGAGGATAAAACGTGAAATTGCTAAGAATAATACATTTCTTTCGTTACCAAAGAAGCTGAAAATCTAAACATCAAAACTGAATATAAAAAATGTAGAACTATTGAAAATATAATAATACAGAAAAATGTAGTCTTATAAAAATAACTAATTCTACACAATGTTACAGACTTTCTCATACTAGTTTGTCTTGTGTGGGCTATGTTTTCCACCCTTTTCCCAGCTGATGCCTATAGGTATCTAAAAGACATTTGTTAACATTTGTTCGATTTTTCGATCGAATATTAGCAGATAGAACTTGTTATGCTACAATAGCACGTATTTTGCACATTATTTGTTTGCACACGTGTTGAAATTTTCGAAATTTGCTTGCTCCGCTTTTAGGTGTGGTTTGCTCTAGCCGAGAAAACAATGGAAAGAAAAATATTAGAGTCGGTTTTGAGAACATAATTTGAAATTGCCTTAATTCAAGCAAACATTACGTGGAAACTACACATTATTTTCGGGTAATTACTATTTAATCATCAAGAATTATAAACTGCAGTTTTTAAATATAAATTACACACAATCGACTCGTTCTTTTTTATAAAAAAATTAACATGATATTTTTTGAAAAATCAGTTTTTTTAGAACATATTACAATATGTAAACGAGATGCCTTATGAAATTGTACAGTTTCCTTCATACAGGTAAGTCACATTTTAAGCACTTGCTACTCTGACTCTTAGAGATGCATGGAATAGTTTCTGAAAATGGACGTAGCTTCTTAAAAAACTCTCTTTTAGTTTGCTGTTCATTTGAAAACTAATGTATGTTAATGAAGATCTGCCCCATATCTTATATTTTAATAGAAAGAACATTGTTTTTTTCAGTTATCAAAAACCAGAAATGCTTCAAGTTTTTTTATATTTTGACACAAAATATTGAAAATTAACCAAGATATGTTCTGCATATGACTTAATCCAATTATCCTCATGTCTTTGTAAAACCACCAGTTAATTCACTGACATGATTTCTTACATTATTTTGAGTTACTGAATGATAACAATGATAACTTCTATATCATGTGATGATCCTAATTGACAAATTTCGATATTTTATAATGTACACGCATCGGCCATTTGAAACAAGGAAATCAATCGTTACTGGGCTGTCCGGGAGGCGCCGCGTCCTAAGCCCAGGTTCCAACGTCTTGGCTACGATTCTTCGAAATGCGCCGAGGCAGGTCACAGAACGGCGGCCGAAACGTTCCACCTACGCGTAGGACGCGGAGTCTCCCGGACAGCCAAGTGGTCCACTCCGGCCGCGGAAACCTCTGCTCTCAAGGAAACCAATGCCTTCACTAATCATAAACTTTTAACTTCAAACGATTTAAAATTAACTTATAATGCAACTTCGTCATTCATTCTGAGCACATACATTCACTATATCGTTCTTCTCTTACATTTTGAATGCCTTTTTAGAAGTTCCTCTTTAGGCAACTTAAAAGCTGACGTAGGTATAAGAACCACAGCTATACTTTCGTTCTCAACCAAAAATATTACACGAACCCATTTCAGTATTAAAATAATGAAGTACTTGAAATACAATCACTACTATCATTTTTTACTTTCACTCCCCCACCATTTCTTAATATCTTTCATATGGGCAGATATATTTCCATTTAGAGAATTATTGATTTAATTCTTTATTATTGTCGTCACCTATATTATTTCAGTAGTGTACATACATTTTGCAACTCTCACACGCAACCAACATTGATAAATAAGGTATCTAACAAAAGATAATTTCACGAAGACGTGACTAATTGCACTATGACTTCAATGATATGAAGGATTTGTTTTAAGAGAAAACATCTAAATATTCACGTCAAATGAAATTCGCTGCATTTGTCAGTATTTTGAATCTATATCGTTAAATAACTCCTAAACGAAGATTTAGGGCATTAAAACTTAAATTTGGGAGGCCAGAACCTCAAAGGAACGTTTCATACGCCGTCATCTATATAAACCGATTTCTAGGACATTCTATTATATTTTTGCTGCTCCGGCACTTATCGGTATTATACAATATCAACTATATTACTAAGCGCCGGAGGCAATCTTTGTGTCGTCACGATTAGAAGGATTAGATTTCTCCAACTTATATGTATGCTTTCTGGGTATATCATGGTTTGCGACGACTGATGAGGTTCATTTGTTTAATCTTTAATCCGATATTATGCAAATAAACGAAAATGCTCTCGCAACAACATTTAATATTAGTTACATTTATTAATAGTTGCTTGATACCGATGAAGATTGATTTTTAAGTGTATAGGGAAACCATTCATATATCGAATGTAAGTATTGACATTCTTGTTTCTGTGATAAGTTTGTGATATAACCTACAGTATCTACAGAATCTGCAACTGTATATGAAATGAAACTAATTACTTAATGTTCTAAGCGATTAAATTGCACGGGTGTACCTCGAAGGCTCGGTAATTCAGTTAAATAATATTCCGATAGGTAGGGTTATGCTTGCCCAACCATGTAATTTTGCAAGATTAACTTAAAGTAGCTTTTTCGAGAGTAAGATGCTTTTGTAATATTTTTGGGACTCTGAAGCAAAGCAAAAACCTAACTGTCAAGGAAGATTGTAAAATTACTTCAAATGCTGTTTTAAGGAAGTGTTGTGAATGGTTTCAAGAACATGACTGTAATACTGATTAAGCCTTTATTCAAAATTAGTTTTAAATTCAATGTTCATTATTTTAAATTCTATAAGTACATTGAAAGTTCCGTTTTTAAATTTTTTAAACAAATAAACAGGTTTCGTTAACAACTTCCCCTCTTAATAGGGAAAAGGAAAGATAGGAAAGAGGGTGGAACATGTGAGAGTTCTCGCGCGCGTACGCTAGTTATTATTAATGATATTAAACTATAATGTTAATGATATTAATATTAATATTACTACTATTAATATTATTATTATTATCGATATAACTTTTATTATATTGTAACGAAAGAATTTATATCTAGATCGTGCAATGCGGCATTGAAGAAAATGTCGACAATCCATTTGTACAGTTATAATGACGCCGCTCTACAAATGCATGCCTCATGAACCTAACAAACAAGGTGGTATATTGTAATACTCGAGGTCTTTGTGAACAAACAACGTAAAGCAAGTGTCTCCGTGATTCAGTCAAGTAAGATTTTCTTCTCCTGAAAATCGCACAAGGCCATCGGACCCAAGCCCGTCACTATGCTATTGACAGTATAGGAACTTTTAAAAAGTGTAACCACAAGATCACTTCTTATTATCAGCAACCGTGGCGACCCACTTACAAAGGTGTCATTTTATGCAGAATATACAGTGTCTTTACTCCTAGAAATACATACTAAAAATTGTTTGCGAAGGAGGTTGTAGAATCTCCTTCTTAGGCATGTATGGTGCTCCCAATATCATTAAAAGTAATACATTCACTGAACTAAAATGATGTTTTAGTATTTGAGAATTCAGTGATCTTACATTTTTAATTCGCTTCTTTTTTTACAGCATCCACTCCTGATTGGTGTGAAATAAATGTTTCTTTAAATAAAATGTAACCACAGAATATTTGAATATGACTACCAGTCATGAGCCTGACGTTCTTAATTCACATGTGTGACTTCGTTATAACGAACTTTTCCCTACATGTTCATTGGTAAGAATCGATCATCTTCAATCCTCCCCAATTGCCTGAAAATGTGCAACTCGTGTTCTAAAACATTGTCAATTTCAATGCGCCGTTTGTCGCCGCCTCCGGAATTCGGACGAAAGTCGAACCCTTTCTCGATCTCTAAAAGATGGGACTCTGCACTTCAGAGATCATCCTGTGGCCTGTCTGTAAGGAAAGAAATGGAAACTGAATGGAAGAGGAAGAATCGCGAACGCTCTGTCGCGTTTGGTGGCGTTTTTCTGTACTTGTTCAGAATTCGCAAACAACGCAAAATACTAATCAGAAAAGTTGTTTTTTCAATTCTCTTCCACATAATCCATCTCGCTATAATAATAATAATAATAATAATAATAATAATAATAATAATAATAAATTAATGTAAATGAGCGTAC